TTCCGCTTTAGGGCCCGGTGGCTTGGGGTTTGGTTTAGGGTTCAGGGCTTGGGGTTTTTGGGTTTACGGGTTTGGGAGTCAAGGGTGTAGGGCTCAGGTTTAGGATGGTTTGGGCCTTTAGGGTTTAGGGTTTGGGTTCAGGGCGTAAGGATGGTTTAGGTTTGGGGGTTTAGGGTGGGGGAAGGGAATGGCGCTGCGGCTGTGGATTTCATGCTGAGGGCTTATGGTTTAGGGTTCAGGGCTAAGGGTTTAGGGCTTAGGGTTTACCTAAACCCCAAAGAGTAAGTCAAAAAATGGCCCAACACCTCTAGAAGGCTATTATTCTGCATACGCATGGGGTCCGGGTAGCGCTTAGGGTTGAGGGTCAAAGGCTTCGCGAGCTTTCAGGCCTTCGTCTTTTTCTCCTAGGAACCCACGCTTGAAGGGTTTAGGGTTTGGGGTTTACATGCTTCTTAAGGCCTGGGGCTTAAGTTTATGTAGTAGCATTTAATATGATAATAAGATATAACATAGAATAATAGACTAGACTATACTATATATAGTACAGTATAAGAGGGACCCAGCTGGGTTTGCGGATTTCTGGAGCCCTGGCACCTTCGATCCGGCGCGGCTGAGCTGCAGCAGCACATAGGCCAGCAGCCTGGGGAAAGGAGAGCGGTTCAAGGGCTCAGGTTGGTGGAGTAAACACCCTAAACCCTGAACCCTAAGACCCTAAACCCTAAGACCCTAAACCCTGAACCCTGAACCCTAATCCCTAAACCCTGAGACCCTAAACCCTAAACCCCAAACCCTAAACCTTAAACTCCAAAACCTGAGAACTTCTAGACCCATTCAGAAAACCCCGAGAGAGACTGCGGGGTCGCTGACGCAGTGGCAGTCGGGCTTGGGGGCTTAGCACAGGCACTTGCCTTCGCAAGTTAGGGCTTTTAGGGGGTTTAGGGTTTAGGGTTTAGGTCTGGGTTCAAGCTGATTTCGTGTGAAATATGTTCAGGCGCAATCTTAGATCTTCTCCTGCCGGTGCTTACCAGTCTTTCTTGCTAGACCCGGAACTTGTTCGTCCTGTTGTCCTGATATTACTCCTTACGCCTTCGTCGGCTTCGTAGGCTCGAAACACCTACATCAGATACGTTTGGATTCTTCTGCGTTTCACGAACATGGTATTTGTTGCGATACTAGACTCGTTCTACCAGCCTTTGCTTGTAGAGTTTGAAATGAAAGTCCACCTTGATACGAGCAGAAGAGAACGAATAACCAGAAGAACCAGGAAAAGCTTTCTGATTCTCGGCCCTCCGTCTAGAAAGATGGCACCGTGTAAAGCTTTGGCACACGAGAGCTCCCCGTCCCCGCCCTCCACCACCCTTATTTTGGGGGTCCTTTTGGGGGTCCTTATAATAAGGATCCTACTATTTAGGGTACTATATTTAGGGTACTATATCACTATTTTCAGGAACTCATGATTTTTGTCCGGTGTGCGTCGCACACCCGCAGCCTCACTCTTGCAACCCCTCAGAAGCAAACGCGGCTCTCCCAAACCAAGTCCAGACGAAGCCGAAGTCTCGAAGATCCTGGTCCTACTTCACCGGAAGCCCTTGAGGGTCAGACAAGAGAACCAGCACCGTTCGAGGCTCCACCCTGGCTGCATCATGGTCCAAATGAAGGTTAAGGGGAGTAGGGCTGAGGATCGCGGTTGACTCCAAGTCACGGCGGACGCTGGGCACATACGGTGGGAAGAGCTATAGCCGTTGCAACAACAACAACAACAATGATGACACCACTGCCACCACCACCACCACCACCACCATCACCACCACCACCACCACCACCACCACCAGAAGCAGCAGCACCACCACCAGAAGCAGCACCAGCAGCAGCAGCAGCAGCAGCAAAACTGTAACCACGACCACGACATCGACCACAGCAGCTGCTGCTGCTGGCTGCTGCTGTAGTTGCAGCAGCTTTGCGTGTAGTAGCTGTTGCGGCAGTTCGTCGAAGCTGGTGTTGGATGTCGGACGGGTGGTCCTGGCAGTAGTAACAGTTAGTAACAGCATCAGCAGCAGCAGCAGCAGCAGCAGCAGAAGCAGCAGAAGCAGCAGCACTAGCAGCAAGAGCAATGATAAGTTGCATCACATAATTCCGAGGACTAAGTTGCGAGACCTTCAAACCTGGTCCCAATGATTCCTGGAACCAACGTCTACGACCCTCTTTTCGCCCTAAACAATAAACCCAGAAAAAACACTGATTCCGAAACTTAGGCCGATCAATCCGAGAGACTCGGAAAGCTTCGAAGTCAGGAAGTCCATAAATGCCGCAGACATGGCTGCAGCGTTCCAGTTGCAATAGTCAGTGATTGTAGCAGCACCGGTATGTTATCAGTAGAAACTTGCACTCTTACCGCGGCCTCTGGAGGTCTGATAGCTTAGCAATGATGGCATGAAATCCAGCTCGGGAGTGGCTCTCTGCCTGAAGAGTTGCTTGGTTCAGAGGCTCACATTCCGACATGCGATTTGCTGTAGTAGGTTTCCGAAGACTCATCACAACAGTGCCTAACAGTCTCTGCAGGGCTTTGGACCCAAACCCCTTGGCCTAAGCAGACTCGGCCCCTCAAGCCTAATTCAATGCAAATCCCTGGCTTTTCAACCGATCTCTCTGCTGTCAGCTCCTAGGACCTAGCTTGCCTCGGTGAAAGCCTGCTGCGACCCAAGGAACGGCAGGTGCGCGCGCGCGTGTGCTTTCTGGGGCCTACCCACACGGTTTAGGGTTTGGGGCGTTTGGGGTGTAGGGTTCTGGGTAGGTTGCGGTTGAGGGTTTGGGGTGGGGGGTTGGGGTAGGTTGGGCTGGAGCGTAGTCGACATGGACATGAAGACTTGAACTCCAGCAATGGCGGGGTCAGAACAGAAGCGCTTCTTGAAGATAGGGCGACACTCACCATTCTTTCTACTAGAAGAAACACCCGACCAGACAAGCTTGCAGCTGAAAATCTGCACCCTTAGGCAGTTGACCCGAAGCCGGAGATCTCCGCTCCAAATGACCCATCCAGAACACCATTACTGTAACACTGGCGACATGCTTTGCCCAACTTCACAGGGGGTGGGGTAGATATCAGCATCCATTAGATCCGGAGCGCCTGTGGACAAAGGGAAACGTTGTCAGCCGACTGTCGGAAGGAAACACCCGAATACTCTTCGGAACGCCTCTCTGCTGCTTTTTTCTCTGCAGCTTGACTGACACCGACGTCTCCCACCGACAAGCTGCCGGCACTGCGGGCATTCTTACCTCGCTGCTTGAGATGCATTGCCTGCTGCAACACACGGCAACGTTGCACCAAGTGTGTGGGGCGTCATGGGTGGAAACATGGGAACTCCAGACACTATAGGGCCCGTGCATACATTCAGCGTGCAGCATACACGATGTACATTGATGGCCATGCTCCATGTAGCATGCATGTGTGTACATATGTATAGACATGTATAGGCAAGACTCGATCTGTCTGTCTATCTATCTATCTATCTACCTATCTATCCGTCTATAAATACAGATACATATGTATTGGATGCATATGCTTATTGATCCAAACTGGCATGTTGCGGTTTGGCAGCACAGCAGCGGACCTGACAGCAATAGTCCAAGAACTGTAAAGCGGACCAGACCGTGACGGCATGTCAAAAACTCGAATCAGACAGCAATCGGACACTTCCAGCCGGCACCATTCCTTCACGTTCCCGACGCCTGGCCTCCGCAGCTCTTCGTCCAGGAGAAGGATGTGGCCTGCATTCAGGAAACCCTAAACCCTGAACCCTAAAACCCTAAACCCTAAAACCCCAAAACCCTAAAACCGTAAAACCCTAAACCCTAAACCCTAAAACCCTAAACTCTGGAACCCTAAACCGGACGATGCGAGGTGGTAGACTGCGGTTCGTGCTCGGGGGCGGACCTCAAGCCCGGGGACCTGAATGCTGCACCAAGGGTTTAGGGGTTTAGGGTTAAGCGGTTAGGGTTTCGGGGTTTCGGGTTTAGGGTTGAGGGATTTTTTTTTAAATGTAGGGTTAAGGTTTATTCTTTTAATGTAGGGTTGAGGGTTTAGGGTTGAGGGATTTGGGGTGTAGGGTTTTGGGTTTAGGGTTTAGGGGTTTAGGGGTTTTGGGGTTTAGGGTTTAGGGTTGAGGGTTTAGGGCTCCATTTCCAAAACTTCCCGGATGAACACGAAATGCCTGCAGGTCAAGTCTACAAGTTCACCCCAGCACACTTCTCCCTCTGAAATACCTGGCCTCCTTCTATCTTCGTGCATTGGCAACATAGACCGCCCCAAATTGGCAAGACTATTCCCTTTCCAATCTTGACCTGCCGTTACCATATCTGTGTTGTGCTTATAAAGCAGTGGCTGGCCATCGAATCAGCGACAATCGCCCTGGCATCGTGAGAAAAGACGGACCAGCCTCGGCCCAGGAAGTGGCTGGCTCCAGCCTGACGAGACATTCGATCACCCGACACACTTCACGAGCGAGGCTCCCAGGGAGAAGACAGGGACAACAGGAGAGAAAGACAAAGCGAATCTTTCGCTCGTGCAGCTGCAGCGGAGCGCATGGATTGCGGAACCTGCCCGGGACCCTCGCGTCATCCAAGATGCCCTCGGAGTTCTTCCCCTCGGTCCAATCAGCTCAAACCCAGGAACACCGAGATTTCGGTCGTGGACGGTTGGAAGCGACATGTGCAACATGCACCACCAAGAGAGGCTCTGCACCGGCCTTTTTTCTGGCGAGCCACACTAGAGAATTAGTTGTGGTTGACATTGAGGAGCCACCACTCGATGTCCATTCTGTTGCACTCCAATCGGCATTTGTGGCTACGGCAGGGCTTGCAAAATGCATGGACGTTGTGCATATGTGCATCTGGGGCAGGTCCCCGAATGCAAGCCCGCCAAAATCGTGATCTGCACGGGTCGCCAATAGCAAGCCCGCCGAGATCGTCAAAACGGGATCTGTACAAGGAAGCCGTCTTCCGCATCACTCATGATCCCCCTGGTGTTGCTTGGCCTTTTGGTAACCATCTACCTCTGGGCACCTGCCAACAAGGGGACAAGTCTTCAAATTGCACGTAGAGGATTGCCGAAACAGCAAGACGGCCACACGGCGGCAGGGATGCATCAGCATGGAGCGGCTTTCCAACCAAGCCCCAGATAATAGCAGGTACCCCTTAATTGATATATACCTTGTGTTGAGGACCCGAACCCTGAAGCAGCCAAAAGGGAGCCGCAGCGCAAGACTGACTGCACATGTGCTCCTGTCAACTTTGCTCATAGGCCGAAGGCACACGGAGCCAAGGAAGCGATTACGACGTGGGGCATAACGGAATAACCATGAGGGCTGCAACTGCGAAGCCCCGTTCTTTGGAACCTTCAACTGAACTGGCTGAACCGCCACGGCGCCTGGCCGTCTCTTTCCGGATGCGCTTGACGATCCGGATCAGGCGGCCGAGGGTTGCTTCTGCATCCTTGGCCGCACCCGCGTTTCGGGCTAACAGGAGTTCAGGGTAAACAAGCCACTGTCTCCGGGCTGCGGGGCCTGTTCTGCCAGTATCTTATACACATACACATTCACGTACATTTGCGTGTAGCTGGCTGGTCGTGGTAGGGTTTCAAACGCATGCACATGGTATCGCCAAGTTCAGAAAAGTGACTAAGTTCACACGAAGACCTGCGTTCATCAAAGCGAAGCCTAGCGCGCGAACTTCCTCCGAGATGTCGCCCACGATTTCCCGTGGACCCAGGAGGCGCGTCTCGGAAATCCGCATTGTCCATGTGTCGAGGTCTGAAACCAAAGGAGAGATCCGGTACTTACCCTCTGCTTTCTTCTCCTCGGAGCGGAGCGCGCACACGTCATCTCGGTGCTTGGAGTTCTTCGCAATGTCCTTCAACTCCAAAGCTTCCTGGCAGAAAGCCGAGGTTTGAAACAGCCTTGAGGTCAAAAACACATACGTGGCAGCATGAATGCATGACTGCGTGTCGCACTCCCCCCCGTATACCTCTACTAATGAGAGAGAGAGAGAGAGAGAGAGAGAGAGAGAGAGAGAGAGAGAGAGCGTGTGTGTGTGTGTGTGTGAGAGAGAGAGAGAGAGAGAGAGAGAGAGAGAGAGAGTGAGAGAGCGAGGGGGGAGGAAGGGAAGAGGGATATCTATCTATATCTATCTATCTATACATACATACATACATTACATACATATATGTATATACATACATATATGTATATATATATATATATAGATATGTGTATATACATATATTATACACATTAAATTAAACCCCAGACCTTACATCATTCAGCCGAGGCTCTCGCTCACCCCAGACATTGTAGTAGTTGCCCCGACGCTGGCGCCAGTCTTCACCCGTGACTTTGCAGAATGCTGTGTGGGTGAGCTTGTTGACACGATCGCCCCAAATTGGGCAATCACCAGGGATGTCGTACGTGTTGAAATTGAGGTAGTAGATGTGGCGCGCACATTGCGATGCTTGGAATAACCAAAAATCATTCAGTACATTCTCCTTAGCTGTTACAGGGTGGCAACACCCCTCATACAGTACTGCACCTGCAAATAATAATAAACAATCCCTCCGAAATGAAGGATGCCAACATCAACGCAACTAAACAGCAGGTAGTCTCGTTGCCCAAGTGGAACATGTTGTCGAGGAACACAAGACTGGAGTTGTGCCCACCTTGGGCCGCCTGACAAAATCTGTGACTGGGAATATAAGGATACCTCAAGTAGTTGCTAAGGGAAGGACCGCGGATCGCGACGGAGAAGGCTCATATCGTTACTGCTTCAATCCCACAGCCATCCGTTCAGAGTCCCCTCCTGGGTCCCTAAACCCGCGTTTAGGCAACCCGCTACAGGGATTCGCGTGATAAGATAAAGTTGTAAGATTCCATCAAAGCTTGCAAAACTCGCATCATGAAGTCTGAATCATGGCTTCAACACATACCCGCTGACATACGCCGAACAAGCGGTTTCCGGAAAACCCTTGTCTTGACCCTCGAAGCTCGAAATTCTGAACGAATGCAGGGGCCCAGGAAAGGATTCCTTACCTAGAACGACCCTCAGGTGGAGAGGTTCGAGGCCTGAGGTATGATCGCTGACCATACGCCATTTCCTCCTTGCAATGCCGCTTCGATGCCTGCAGCGTCCTGGGTGTTGCCATCCCCAGCATGAGCATGGATGAGGATGCGGTACTTCTCCTCGACCGGGAAATGCTTTCGGAGCCACCTGGAGTGCAGAATCGAGCAAAACGACCCTAGATCGAACCTAAACCGTCCCGAACCGAAACTACACCCCAAGTGAAACCCAGACCATACCTCGAGAAGATCCGAATGGTATCTCTGATCTCCTGAAACCCCACCTTGTGATCACCCCGTAGTCCATGTGGTTGGCACATCCTCGGCCCTCCTCTGTCAGAATCGCCACGACCCGCCGCCGAAAGGCATCTGACTTTTTCCACCTGCAGACTGCTGAAAATCACGGTGCCCGAATGAGCCACAAATTCCGGCTTCGCTTTTTGCAAAAATGAGTCTTGAGGGCCAAAGCCTAAAACCCTCAGCCCCAGGGCGCGTAGAATCAGGAGAAGCAAGAGTGGCTGGGTTCCAGGGCAGCTTAGCCACGCAAACCACTCCAAAGCCACTAGAAACCTGGGCTTTCAAAGCGGCCTGGCAAAGGCCTCCTCAGCCCTCAGCTGCTGGGGCTTCTTCTCCTGCTCCAGCGTCTCACCAGGCTGTAGATCCAAGAACTCCATGAGGTCCACCAGGTTGAGGGATATCTCGCCTTTGCCGCCCACGCCTTCCTTGCCTCGAACCCAAGCTGACGGTTTAGAATGCGAGGGTCCAGGCGTTCAACAGCGCTCCGCGCTGGGAGTTCTGGGACTTTGTCAAAAGGGTGGAAGGTTAAGACGGCCCAGGCACTGTTCACATTCGCATCGCTCCGCCAGGGATCCCGTGGCAACTTCATCTCATGAGTGAAGATTGAATCCAACTCCTCGACGGCTTCCAGAACCGATGTGACGAAGTTAGTATCCTTGAAGCGGATGCTGGCCTTCAGACGCAGTGATTTAGTCCCTGAGTGCAAAGAACACCTACTGCCTGAACCTGGCCCAATGCAAACACCTGCCCACGTCGGATGATGAAGCCGCGAGAAGACCACGGAAGTGGTTTACAGATCCCTCCCGCCTTCAGCGTCAAGTCCAAGAAGGCGTTCGGAATGCGGAAGTCCCGGATGGCCTGGATTCCCGCTGAGCGATCCCCCGGCCCAAACATGGCCACTGTGCCGTCCATGGACTCGCCTTTGTACTTCATCCATTCGAGGATTTGGGTCTCGGGAGTATAGGACGAGCCGTAGTATTGGCCAGTAATGGCGATGTCCTTGAAGCCCATGCGGCGCACAATTTCAAGGGTGAGGTATTTCATATAGCCGGTATGCCCGAATGGAGTGTTTGTAGCCGGCTCCCGAACTGTCTGGTCCATGATCACTGGGCGCAGTGTGCGCAAGACTTCGTGTTTGGACTCCGGCGTGATGCTCTTCACCTGGGACTAATTTCAGATCTACCCTAAACCCTAAACCCTAAACCCACGTTGCCGCACTCTGCGTGCGGCCGCTGGGAAGCATGCTGAAGTTCGCTGCTAGGACTGCAACACACTTTAGGGCTGAGGGTGTGCATGCTTCGTTCCGGCAGCCTGACACACAAGAACCGATGTACAAGCTGATAGCTGCAAGCACTGGACCCCAAAAGCGGAACTCCAAGGGCTAAAGCCTTAAACCAGAACATCCTATAAGCAAAGACTTTCCGACTCACATCTAGGCACTTTCCACTGCACCCGTGTTCCTGGCTCATCCAGCAGCTGCAGAAACCTGGGCTCAACTTGAGGGAAGTCATTTGTGACCACAACAAGGACTGTTGTGTATCCCTCTAACTTTACCTGAGTTTCTCAGCAAGAACCCAAGAACCTTTCGGTTCTCCCCTTGATCTCCATCCACATCCGGTGGTCCGGCGCCAGGAGGAACTCCTGTGGACGCTTTGAAGGGTTTAGGCGGCTTCGGTTTTAGGATTTGGGGTTCAGTGCGCAGGGCTTATAGGCTTTTGGAGAAGGGCTTGGGATCTTGGGATCTCGTGAGTTTGGGGGGTGGTTTTGGAAGTACAATCGGCCCTTGAAAAGAAGCATCCTGCACGGTCGCGTCCACCCTCAACCCCAAAACCCCTCCCAAAAACCCACAGCCAAAAGCACAACATCTGATCAAACTGCCAGAATCCCAAACCTACACCGCCTACGCCCTGAGCCCTATTTACCGCAGGCCCGCTCCTTGATTTCCTCAGGCTCCAGGAGCCCGAACACGCTTTGCTTAAGGCGCTCGTGTGCCACAGGCAGCCGTGCCTCCTGGAGGGTTCAAGGCTTCGGCTTTCAGGGTTCAGACTTTTGAGTATGAGTTCATGTCGATGCAGTTTGGAGACAAGAAACAATGATACGATGATGGCATGATCGTAAGCGTCAGCCATAAGCAGACCGAAAATGTGAGAAGCCCCCTCTCCTGGCAGCAAGCCTTTAGGAACTCGTCTCCCTTGGCGACTTCTGACGTTTGGAAGCATTGGTAGACCCTGTCGAGAGACTGGCATATGTGGATGCCCGCAGGGATGTCCGACTTGTCCATGTCCAAGGAAAATCGCTTCTTCTCAGTCTCTGGCTCTTCTCTCGAAATCACTTCTTGGGCTGTCGGTGCTGCGGTGGCGCTCTTCGGAGTCGGGGCTGGGGTGCTGGGCCTGGCTCCGCCTGCTCCACCATCTGTTAACTGACTCTGCTGGGAGTTTCTGAGTAACTTTCCCAGAACACGGCTCGCCTGGCTCTGCACTTCGGCATCGCTGGGGTGGCGCTCGAGCGCCTTCACCACAGCCTCCAGGGCTCCCAGGTCGGCGGCCTTCGCTCTGCGCTCTTGGTCGTGGCATACGTTTCCCAGCGCACCGCTCGCATGGCGAAGCACGTTGGCATCGCTGGGGTGGCGCTCGAGCGCCTTCACCACAGCCTTCAGGGCTCCCAGGTCGGCGGCCTTCGCGCTGCGCTCTTGGGAGTTGGCGCATAGGTTTGCCAGCGCACGGCTCGCACAGCGCTGCACGTTGGCATCGCTGGGGTGGCGCTCGAGCGCCTTCACCACAGCCTTCAGGGCTCCCAGGTCGGCGGCCTTCGCGCTGCGCTCTTGGGAGTAGACGCATAGGTTTCCCAGCGCACTGCTCGCACAACCCTGCACTTCGGCATCGCTGGGGTGGCGCTCGAGTGCCTTCACCACAGCCTCCAGGGCTCCCAGGTCGGCGGCCTTCGCTCTGCGCTCTTGGGAGTTCAAGCATAGGTTTGCCAGCGCCCTGCTCGCATAACGCTGCACTCCGGCATCGCTGGGGTGGCGCTCGAGCGCCTTCACCAGGACTTCCAATTCCTTGCACATGTCGGAATCGGCAAGGGAGCCTCTTGCAGCTGCCAGCCACAGCTCATCACAGGGCCGTTGCCACTTTACCCGCGTCGTAACTGGCCAACTCTTCGAGGCGGCTGCCCTGGCCCATGATGGAAAAAGGCTTCGGCTCCTGTCTCAGCTTTTTGCCTGCAGCCCCGCACGAGAACTCGATGCCCGAGCTGCAGATGTACCTGAAACCTACCAGAACCCACCTTTTCCTAGGGGACCTTACAGATTGCATGTTCCGGATTCCTCAATGCATCTACCTGAACCTAGTTTTTGCGGGGTTCCGTGTTGGCTGATTTGTGAAGAGTTGGGCTCAACCACAGAATGAATCGCAAGAGCTGCTTGAGCAAAGGGCGATGCGATCACGTCGCGTCGCCATGCATCTACGCAGACTCGCACAGCTGTCAAAGTTGTCTTCCAGGGGCTGGAAGTCTGAGCAGACAACCTTGCGGGACATCGCCTGCAAGGACATTGCGGGCGTTCTCAGTTTATCGTTCAGGGTTCAGGGTTCAGGTTCAGGGTTCAGGGATGCCAATTCCAGACACCGTAGTTGCATGAGCATTGTGTGATAAGCACCAGGTACAACCGTGGCTTGTGCTTGGCCTATACAGTACTGTAACCCTAAACCCTAAACCCCAACTTGCGTGAGGTTCTTTAGCAAAAATGACCTGTCCGCCTTTCGGGTTTCAGACTTCCGGGATGGTTTGGAGGTTTTAGTAGGGGGCCTGGGGTTTTTTAGTTTTTGGGAGTTTGGAATCTTCTCAAAGGAGTTGGGGGTTTAAGGTTCGGGGGTTGGGAGCTTTCCGTGGTTTAGGGCTCAAGGAATCTAAGGGGATTCGGCAAGATCGGACAAGCGGCAGCAGCAGCAACAACAACAACAGCAGCAGCAGCAGCAGAAACAGCAGCAGCTGCAGGAACAGCAGCAGCACTACCGAAGGCAACGAAACGATGCTTTCGGAGAGGGGCAGGTTAATCAAAACCAACGAGCCAGCCTGAGAGTAAGTGCGCATGGAGATATTTGGCGACCCCATCCTCCTGGCCAGGAAACTGATCGGAACATCAGCGCGGGCTTGCCCAGCTGTGGAGAAACCCGACATGAGAGTTTGGCAAGTTTCTGGTTTGGAGTTGCGGGTAAACCCTAAACCCGAAACCCTAAACCGTTAAGCCAAAAGCCGCTGGCCACAGGCTTTCAGCACCCTGAGCTTCCGGGAGCCTCGGTCCTAGGCGATGTACAGGGAGCACTGGGGAGCACGGTTTAGGGCAGAGGCCTGTATACGGTCTAGGGTGCAGGTTTTTACGGCTTAAGGCGTCTAGGCTTCATACCGTTTAGCGTCTAGGGTCTACAGCTTAGGGTCTAGTCTAGGGTTTCGGGTCTAAGGTTTCGTGTCTGGGCCCTTCGTTCAAGCACACGATGAGCCCCGGCAGCTCCCTCAGAGCCCCCGCCCGAAGCTGAGTACCCCAAACCCTGTCAACGCACAACGAAGAAGTCCCTAAACCCCAAACCCAAAACCCCTAAACCTTAAACCCTAAAAACCCCAAAACCACTAAAAACACTTAAAACCCTAAAAACCCTAAAAACCGTAAAAAAAAACCTAAAAGCCCTAAAAGCCCTAAAAGCCCTAAAAACCCTAAAAACCCTAAAGACCCTAAAAACCCTAAAGCCGAAAACCCCAAAATCCTTAAAGCCTAAAGCCTACACCCCAAAGAAGCCCCAGCCCACGCAGCTCCCTCTCTGAAGCTCCTCGTTCGTGAAGTCCGTCACATCCTGGCCTCGAGCACACGCAAACCCAAAAGTTTTAGGGTTTGGGGCGTTGGGTGTAGGGTTTAAAATTTAGGGTTTGGGGTTTGGGGTGCAAGGGCTCAGGGCTTAGGCTTTAGGGTGTAGGGTTTCGGGTTTAGGGTTTAGGGGGTTTAGGGTTTAGGGTTTAGGGTTTAGTGTTTAGGGTGTAGGGTTTCGGGTTTAGGGCTTCGGGTTTAGGGTTTCAGTTTTAGGGTTTAGTGTTTAGGGTGTATGGTTTAGGGTTCGGACGCCTGACCCTTGAAATCAGCAAAGTCCTAGAGACCCTAAAACTAAATGCCAAAAGCCCCAGCCCAAGCCCGAGACCGAAACTCCTAAACTCCTAAGCCCCAACACCATAAACCCTAGCCCTCATTACTAAACTCCTAAACCCTAAACC